AGGATATAGAATCATCTTTTGGTGATCCCAGTTCTCAGGTAGTGGCTAGTTCCCAGGAAGTTACGTGACTCTCACGAAATATAGGTCCGCCATTGCAATCATTACTTCCCACAATCCGATTCTGATTCGTCGATTCTCTAATTCGTCAGTCGGGTGGAACCTTTCAACGCGTTAAAAGCGCGTACTGTTCGGTTGCAGTTTTGGGAAAATGCAAAAGGAGATGGCTGTGAAGGATACATATATTGATTTTTTACTGACTCCCATGGCTAAGCTCAAGGTAATTATATGAAGGCACGCGACAAAGCTTAACTCATCACATTAGCCATCACGGTGCTATTCATTTTTGTGTCCAGTCACGACATACTCTGCAAACTGCAGCAATTGGCGGCGGAGAAATTCAGCCTTGCCACTTTACTCAAGAATCTAACCAGTGCTCTAGTTTATAAGCATAAGTTACTGCATAAATTACTACGTACGTAAACAGATATCGACCTTTGTATTGACTCTCAAAAAGTGTTATAACTCAACTTTATCTATATGTTGTGAACAACAAGGTGAATGTTACTGTACTTCTCGGAGTGAGGTGTTGTTCATCCCTTTACTGGAACACTTGAACTTCTTACTGGGATGGATAGGTTTCTTAGGTGGAATGTTGAGCTTTTGTGTCACCTTTTTTCGTCCACTAACATTCGGCCTGGCTGAAGTGAAAAAAGTAGCCGTTTGGTCAAGAGCGGCTCTTAAGGATACGAGCTGAGATCAAGTTTCTAATGAGGACTACTCAGTCCGAGGACAATGAAAATCGCTCTTGTAAATGTCGTGGGCGTATGAGAACGAATGGGGGTTTCCTTGTACACTGTTATCAACGTATCCCATTTCAGCTCGTTGTCGAAAGTCCTGACCGAGTACTGGCGAAACAACTGATTCTTGCGTTGTCGAACTTGCTCCCTATCGGTTGCCTCAAGGTGCTCATCTACAGCGAAGCGTACGAGACCAAGTGAGTTTGTCTACTTTTATGGTTTTTACTTGTACGTTTGCTGTCTGATTCATCTAATATTACTAGTGAAACTTTGTAAGGATTTCTGCTAGATTTTAACACTTACGAGGGAAAAATTATGTAGCGGGGGCCAATTTTAGTCCTTATTTTTTCCTCTCCTCCTGTGACCTCCTCTTTCCACGGTTCTACCTTAATATACGATGGTTGAGCCAGGCTAGTCTTGTTATAACTGGCTGCTGCGCCTGTGTTACGGTCGACTGCGAATGCGCGTAATGACGCTGGCGATCTGCACGCGATACCAAACCCGGCGATGCATTGAAAGGACGGGTATGCACGGTATTGACTGCGAGGGGCTCTCAGACAACATTTCTCGAGCCCATGTTCTTACCTCTGGAATCTTTCCTTCACTAGCGCATTCCACTCTTTGACTCTCAAAGCTGTCAGAAAAGTCACGTTGCAAATTATGGTAGTAATATGCGTACTTCAAAAAGGCAAAGGGTCACACGGTTGTCGTCAGACCTTCTGGAGTTATGCATACAGCCATAAAGAAGTCTTTGGCCGTCCCCACTCTCGTCTCCATTCTTCGAAGATTCGAAGGATCTGTTGTCACGCTCCCACGAAACCTCCGCACGATCGGCACGCGACCGCATTTGTCGACCAAAGGAGGACAGCTGAAAGGGCAACGGTGAATCGCGTGTGTAGCCCGTCTTTCTTTAGCCCATATGCAATTCGTAAAGCTCTGTGAAATCTTCTAGAAAATACTTCGTCGTTACCGTCTTGTATATTTTTTACCCTGGCCCTCGACGTAGGTGGGCGCGCCCTTCGCGGAGACGCATGTCTCAAGTGACTTTTTTGGGGTCCTGCCGTCTTTTTGCAGTATGCGTACTTCCCTTTCTTCTAATTCAGTCATATCAGTCCATTTTGTAACGTCTGTATCGCCTGTACCTGATTTGTCCTCGCTTCGCCATTCCTGCGCAGATCGACTTTGAACTATCCTACAATCCTGTGCACATCGTCTGTATTGTTGATCGAACATTCTCATCATCTTTTTGGCCCATCTCATTTTAGGCTTGCCAGCGGATCCGGACGCTTGTAAGGTCCAATAGGCCGACCTTACAAAGCAAATGGCCCTTAGTTTCAGTGTTTTTATGGTTTCTCTTACCCCTTTCTTCACGGTCCTCTTCGCACCTCTGCATCAGTCTCGAGCGAAACCACAAATTTCGATCGCGTAATGTGCTTTGAGGCCAATCCAGCAGTCTGAATGACGGGATCAAATTCATGGGCCGAAAAGTCCATCTGCTTTCTTGCAAATGCGCCATATGGCCAGCGCAATCTCGTTTTCCATTTCACATCTTATGTACAACAACAACAGTGGCACTTCACCTTCGAATTTCTGATTTTTTCATGCTGAATTCACGTCCAATAATGAGTTGAAAATCTTGAATAGCATCGCTATATCTGCCTCGCCCTTGTCGTTTCATCAGCTGTGAAAATCTTTCTGTCGCAGGAGCAGCGGGGTTTCCAGGACATGTGTATGCAGTGAAAGATTTTTATGAAATTCGATCGTTTTATTTTCAGGTACAATTTGCTGGGCGGTCCACTTGACATGGACATTCCCCTTGACGCGAACGTGCTGGTTCTGCGCATCCAGACCGATGACATTGAACAAGCAGCCAAGGGATCCTTAGAATCATGTCGTATCCGTGTGCGAAGGCGTCCATTGCCCAATCCAAGAAATCCTCGATTGCTAGATCGGTATAGGCAGCTTTTATTGGGTAAGCTCTGCTTTCCCTGTGCGATTCCAGTTGGCTGTGGTGCCGTCAATCATGTTTGTTCTTTTCAGATAGCGAAGTACATCACACAGTACTGGACGCAACTATACGTTCGACGCGGGAACATTGGGTTTCTAAAGCAAAACTGGTATATCAAATGTCTCGCCAAAAGGAAATCATCCCATCAATGCACGTTAGTAATGTGTTCAACGTCGTTCGCGGCTGTTCTGAACAGGTATCATTTGGCTTCTCCTTTCTTTGCTTGTATGCTCTTTTTCGAACCAAGACGCTGCTAAGTGGAGTGCTGTTTCAGGACCGTGATGTGCTGACGTTCTGGCAAGAGGGTCTTTCAAAAGTGTATAAGGAATCTGTGATCGCGACTATTCATCAACTTCCACATTAACTGATTATCAATCAGCTCTCACTCGTGCGACTACAAAAGTCAAAGCGGGTATGACGCCGAGCGTCGTTTGATCTCTTCCCGCAACTTGAACTCTCATTCGAAGCAGCTGGCCGCGGTAGGCCCAACCTTCGGGACGCAGTGTTCCGCCGTTTCCCGGTCGGTCGTTATAACGCGACACGTTTAGCAGTAGAATGTTACGTGTGCCGAATCTGTGTTCCCAATTCCTAGTCTAACCACGTGCAAAATCATTTGTTGTGACAATTTCTAGCCTAAGTGATAATTCTTATTCATAGATGGGTATTCAATCATTGATGTCATTGTGTTATGTTGTGCATATTTTTGTTTTAGAATTCCTCGTAGTAATGTCGGGCAATAAGATCTTGACATATCTGTATTGGACTGGTTGAAAATTTCATGAAAGACTCCCAAGTTTATGTCTGCATTTCGCTCCATTTTATTTCGTGTTTTTTTTTTTTTTTATTGTTCTTCCTGGCCGCCCCGCTGACTAGGGAGTTTTTTCAAATGGTGTTTTGAGTAGGCTTTCGGAGGCAATCGAACCTCGTCGAATGCTCTGTGAAAGGCATCAATAGCTAAGCCATTAACACTTACAGATCTTCGCATTCCCTTCCCCAGAGAAAGAGAGCATACTGTCTTGGAGGAAAGTGATGTATGCTTTACCGAGCATCACCTTCGCCTTGTAAGCGGTCAGTACAAGCAAGAAATCCACATGAATGTTCGCGCCTGGCATCGCGTTCTCCTTCACAAACGGTGCAGAAGCTATCTCAAGCACTGTTGGGTGCAGAGAAGTGCATCCACATTGTTGTTGATGCCCACACTTCGTGAGAACTATTCTATTTTCACGTCGGCGAGTGTGTCAGCGTTCGTGGTGTTCTGAGTGTTGTAGAGGCTCATGTGAGAAACACAGAACCATGGTCCATTTTTCCTGAACGTCCCACACGAATGTCAAAACAGCGGGGAAAGAAAGTGTCGTTCGATCCTCCGGTGAATGACAAATTTTTATAACTTCGTATAATGTATGCCTGCCGATCCTTGCAAATGATCATCTGCTCTTGGACGATGGCCGCCAATTTGGGGCCAATCTGGGGACGCCCAATGTATTGCAATAAATTTATTGCGGGGCGGGACGCATTTCTTCACCACTGGTTTTTGTCCATTCCTGGGAGCCTTCATGCAAAAATGGATCGCCGCAATTCATGAAATCTGTGTTGCGTCGGCATCCGGCATCTACAAGCATGCAAGAACCGCCATCTGAAAGACCTCTCTTGTGAGCGTCGCCGTCGTTAGAATAGTACAGTTCTCACGAAGTGTAGGCAAAAACAACAATGTGGATGCACTTCTGTGCACCCAATGGTGCTTGGGATAGCGTCTGCACCCGTCCTGAAGAACCGCGACTGCAGGAACCATTCAAGTGGTTTCTTTGCTTGCTACTTGATGCTTACAAGCGAAGGTGGTGCTGGTTATTGGAAATTACATTATTTTCAAGGGCAGTATGCTATATTTTTCCTAGGGAAGTAGAACGAAAATCTTTTTGGAAGAAATCTCAAAGGTTAAGAGGGATGGGGAAGTATGTGTCCCACACGAAGCAGTAGCTTGGCTGCCAAGGGAGTTAGATGAGCGTCCCTCACGATGAAAGGTGCGCTGTTTGCTGAGAAGTACTTGAAATAAATCGCCACGCCCCCAAGGCTTCATCACTCTGGTTTAGTTGGCGATTTGGACGAGTTTCGTTGCGAGCAGCGGTAAAACTGAAGTAGGATCTGACATGGCACAGCAAAGGCGGTGCGGCAAAGTCGTTCATACGTCCACGCGTTTTCTTGACGACATTCCTTGCTTTTTTCGCACATTGGCATATCCCCAAATTGGCCCCGGGGAGCACTCCCCCCTTAACCGCTGGCGGAACCTTACCGTAATCCCTAGTCGAACGTAGTTTCGCTTACCTTCGGCTCGCTTTTGTCTTTTCATAACACAGATGCTGTTGCATCGTCGACCATAACTATAACTTGGGAACGCCCAAAAGAAGGAATTTATGGCTTCTCCCATTGGGGGAAGGGTATTGTTCGGCCTCAGGAATTGTGGTGCCATTGCCACACCTCCAACGCCCAAGGTGATCATCGATTCATTATTACAAGCCTGAAAACCACATGGAATTGCGAAACAGTGAAAGAACTTGGAAAACATTATGTGAACTATTTCAAGTGGGGTTCGTAATTGGGCGATATTGCTTGGGTCGAACGAAACAGTACACAAGTAAGAGCACTAACCATAAGTCACGCGTTGCTACTTTGTAAAGAATTGTGCAGGTTTCTTCTTGTTTCGCTTATGAAGAGGACGCAATTTCTCAGGCAATTTTTACACGTTTTACACTGTGGAAAAGCCTTTCCTGCAAGCTTAGTAGACTGGACCACAAGCGCGGGTTGCACAGATTTCACAGCTCGAAAGAAAGCGCGCAGCCGGGTGAGGCACCTGTGCTTTTGGCTTAAATCATCTCCCTCCTCGTGGGGGTATGACCCCCGAGATTGATGATATCAATAGTGCCGTTAAACCTGGATTACTTTTACACATTTTGCAGTTCTGCTTCAAGATTTATCCTGAAATTGGCGTCGAGCGAGGAATGGTAAGGTGGGGGGGGGGGGGTAAGGGCTTGGTGATAATTGTTAGAACTTTCTTTGCCCACCTATCCCCAAATATACAACTTCGGACCAGGAGAGCAGATGCATGTCGGCATTGTGTTTCCTTTGGTGTCGACGATACATCCAATATATATTAACATATCCAGGGAATTGTTTTGAACTTCCCATGGAACTTTGAAAGGAGACCTAGGTACATCGATAGAGTCTTGGACGCTGATTACAAATATGGACAAAAACTGCTACGTGAACTTTGTAAGAAAGTTGTGAGCCTTAAAAGTTGCAAAAGAACGCTAATGATGAGGTGCAACCTATGTGGAAACACGGTTGCTTTTTGCCTGGAACTTGTTCTAAGGGTAAATGGGTGCCCTGATTACGAATATGAGACTCGTTTTGGCGCAGAGCCACGGCGACTGTGATTCCACCAGGTAAGCTCGCCTCAGTAACGTTTTTTGCCAACTTTGAAGGCTCATAACTTTCTTAGGAAGTTCACGTAGCAGTTTTAGTGTCCATATTTGTAATCAGCGTTCAAGACTCTATCGATACATCTAGGTCTCCTTCCAAAGTTCCATGGGAAGTTCAAAGCATTTCCTGGTAAGTGTTGCATAAAAGTGCAGTCTTATTGGGTCTATGGCGTTCCCAGTGCCTATACTCTCTGTGAAATCCCTTCCGTATTGAAGCGCTCAGTACTGCTCTTCCTGAAGTTCATTTTGCATGGTAGTAGTCATAGATACCAAGCGGTGGAAATCTGATATGTGGACTGGTAGAAGGATTCCATTCTATCGTTTCCACTTTATTTGTGCACATCGACATCGTATTGCATTTCGGGCGATCTTCAAGCAAACACTGATTCTGAGCGTTTGGCGGCGGCAGTGGCTGAGTCGGGAAAGCGTCGAAAGTCGATTCTGTAGGCTGGCTGCTGCGAGGGACCACCCACTGAGGTGGCGGAAGGCCCTGTCCGTGTCAGGCTCTCAAAATCGCATTTATTCATAAAACACACTCGTTATAGCTGTGGCATATTGTGCCTACATTATTGTTTGGGAGAAAAACATGAGGAATTGCCCACAACTGGGGGGGGGGGGGCGAAAAGGTTGTATATTTGTGCAAAGCAATTTGGTTTTGAAATATCTCCCATAGGCTCTCGGCAAATAGACGTATGTCTGCTGATGGGAATTTCGCTGAACAGGAAGCAGGAGCATGACACGGGCTGTGTTTTGACGTTCGTTGAGCTGCGTTACAGTGATGAAAAACAACGGGCTTTCAGCTGCACTTTGGAGCTGTCAACTGCAATGTGCTAGTGAAAGCCTGCCGTTTAGTCCAGAAAACTGTCAGGAAGAAGAAGGTAAATACTGAGTAAGCCTACATACGAACACAGATGGGGAGCAAAAGCATTTTTTCTTCATCTGTAATGCTGCACACGGCAGTCGTAGGAAACAAACCGAGAACATCGTCAAATTGTTGCAGTACACTTCTACTAACTATAGCTCAACAATTCCTTCTTCACGAGGCGTTTGAAAAGTAAAAAAGCAGGGAAGACAGGAGTCACTTTTGATTTTAGATTAATGAATATAGATCCAGCTCGACACTTAAAGCTGTATCGCTTTAAGTTGGTTCGTGGCGTTGCATATGAAATCTTCTCCGATCCACCTCTAGTTTTTGATTTGACCATTTCAAACAAATTTTTCCAATTTCCAAATTTTTCAAACATTTTCGGAATTTATATGGATTTTTAAGAGTCTCGTAGGTCTGAAGGAGGTAGTACAGTGATTAGAAGCGCTTCGATTCGGGCTAGTTGACTACACTCCAACTCTTGAGATTTGATTTAGGAACAACCAAATGCATAAACAATCTCGAACCGAGGCCAAATATGCGGCGCATCCAAGTCTTACTCGTCGATAAAACTGCCACTATAATAAATCAAATGTTAGTCAAGGAAAACGCGGCATAAATCAGCAGATTAATTGAATTGTGTTCCTAAACTCTTAAAATCCATAGAAATTTCTGAAACACAAGGTTGTCAGGGTAGGGAAATAATTCCGATCACGTACATGTATATCCCAGCAATATCTGAGCCCAAAAGCTGT